TGACATGTCTACCACCAGAGGTCAGCACCCCTCACGTCACAAGCAAAAATCTGTAGACTGACTTGGCCACACCTCACTCTTCTAGGCAAGTGAGAAGGGATGGTTTCGTAGGCTGCTCTCTCCCCACAAAGGCTGTATGGCTTAATTTCCTATCCTCATAAGAATTTAATACCACACGGAAACTGGACCTGTTCGTGCCTGGTAACTTGTGAGACACCAAAGACTGCTGCATGTCCACAGTGTGCTGTCACCACGGAGAGCCCATCTTCACTTACTGCATGCTCAAGATGTGCTGTCTACCAAGGGGATAACGCCGGGTTATTAGTGATGTTATAACTAAACTAGTTATAAAATTTATAACTAAAATTATTAGTCATAATTTTTTTTTGTACACTGGTCATTGGATGCTCTGGAGTCTGATTTCCAAACAGGAATGGAAAGCAAGCAAGTGGTCTCCAAGTGCCAGGCCCATGTTTGGCAGAGAGACTCTATAATGATAACAATACTACAACAAAACCTCAGGAGGCTCTGAGGATTACCCAAGGAAAGGCAGCCATTCCCTCATGTGACGGGGCCTCAACTCTGAGATGCTTGACTGGAAAATGATGTTCATCCTCCCATACAGAGTAGCTCCTATTCTTGTGTAAGTATTCACGTGTCCATGCATCCAAGTGTTTGGGTGCATGGGTAAAGGCCAGAGGTCCTGGCCAGAGGTGCTGTGGAGCTAGTCTGGCTGGCCAGCAAGCTTCAGGGATCTGCCACCCTTCACTGTATGCAGGATTACAGGCTTGCATCACCATGCTCAGCTCTTATATGTGGGTACTGAGGATTGAGTTTAGGTCCTCACCTTTGCTGTTTAGTTTTTTTCCACTTGACCCCAGACAGAGTTACCTGGGAAGAGGGACCTTCAACTGAGAAAACATTTCTATCATACTGGCCTGTGGGCAAGTTTGTCGGGGCATTTTCACAATAATAATTGATGAGGGAGGGCTAGTTTACCATTGGTGATACTGGTCCTGGGTCAGTGGTCCAGAGTGCTACAAAAAAGCAGTCCAAGTGAGGCATGGAAAGTAAGCCAGGAAGTAGTATTATTCCATGGCCTCTGCCTGCTTCAAGTCCTGCCTCCAGGTTCCTGCCCCGACTTTCCTTCATGGTGATCTACAAGCTGTAAGATGAAACAAACCCTTTCTTCTTCAAGTTGCTGTAGGTCACAGTGTCTGTCACAGCGTCGGGGAGGAAACTAGGGCACCACGGTTGAGCAGCAAATCCGCTACTGACGGAGCTATCTCCTCAGCCCCTTTCTTATTTTTGATCACTCTAGACTCAGTTAGCCAGGCTCCCAAAACAAGACTGTGTGTGAGTGAGGTCTGAAAACTGAAGAAAGGGGGCAGGATGGAACCCAGGGTACAGATGGGACAGATCATGAGGGGTAAAGGAGAGGGGAAGACCACGGCAGCTAGTCACCTTAAACCTGAACCTCTGCAATTCCCCAGACTGTAGGGGATGACGGGACGGAAGCCAAGGATGGAGATAAAGCCGAAAAGGTGTCCAGCTGGAGAGCAGTGCCAGGCTCCAGCAGGCTGAATGACCAGCACTGCAACTACAGGGAGATGATTTCTAAAGCAGCCAAGCCTGTGCTCGGATGCTCAGACCCAGCCAAGAAACAAACCCAAGCAGTTAAGATAGATAAACACAAATGCTGAGAAGATGTGACTGGTCCCAGAGTTTAAAAGAATTAAAAAAGCAAACACGTCAAGCGGGATCCAGAGAGGCTCCGTTCTTATGGCTTTGCACTCATCAGACCACTGAATTCTCCCAACATCATAAAGTCAGTATAGACATTTAAGGAGGCCACTGGGATCTTAGCAGTAGACACCAGGAGAGGCGGAACATGGGGAGAAAGCCTCAGAGAAAAGATTTGGGGTGCATCTGGAAGCCGCAGTAAGCTTGGTGGGAGGCAGGAAGGGTGACAGCCATGCAGAGGGGCATGTGGAGCATGGCTTGGTGTGCTGTGTCTAGGAGCCAAATCTGGCCCATTTCATAAATCAGTTTTCTTGGAATCTAGCCCTACCCACTGTGTTTGGCCTCGGGCTGCTTTCTTACATCAAGGGCAAGCTGGGCAGCTATGACAAAACCTGAGACCATATAGCCCACATGGCCAGGCCCTTTGCTGCATCTGATGACCCATGACCTGGAGCCTCCCTCTTTATGACGCAGCGGAGAGGAGGCCCAGCAGGGCTGGGCAGCAGGAAACATGCAGGCCCCATCCTAGACCTGCAGAACTGGGGGAGCCAGGAACGATTGCCTTTTGAAAGGGCCTCAGGATATTCTTCTGCACAGGAAGGCACTGAGAAGACCCAAGTCTACACTGACGCAGACACAAGAGCAGTGAGCAGAAGCATCTCCCTAACCAGCATTGCGGTGGTACCATCATAGTTCCGGTGATCAACAGCCCCAACCATGCTGTGCAGGCCTCACTTCCACCTCCCCTTTCCTCCGAGCTGCTTTAATGCCCTGGAATGCCTTCTGAGAACTGGAACAGAGTTGAGATTTCTTAGGATAGAGAAACAGCTTGGGTACAACACTACCGGTTATCATGCGCTTCCATGTATAACAAATGTTATCGCCTCTACGCCATGCCTCTAAAAGCCCATGTGTAACTGAAGATATCAACTGGGTTAACAAGGAAGTTGAGAGACGACCACGGGACAGTGTCAATCTGGACCTGCTCCGTGGGTAGCTAGCATAGGACACATATTCCCGGTGACTTACAGGGGTGATGTCTCACGGCTGCAACTTTCTCTCTCCCTTCAAACAAGCAGCTTTCCTGAATTCCAGGTAAGCCAACCATTTAAAGTTCCAGGGAAACAAGGCAGTGTTCTGGACTATTCCACCAACATCATTCCCTCTTCTAGCTCCGCCTGACAGCTCCCAAGTAATCGTTTAATATTCTGCCTTCTTAAGAATCTAGAAACATTTGACAGGGTTATTCGTGGAATCCAGGGTGCTTAAAAGTAATGATGGCAATGTAGATAAAAATAGATGGGTGGCAAGGGGGCACTCACTCCTGTATTATTTTCACATGCTTAGCTTTAATACTGCACATTCATGACTTGGGCAGAGGCGATCCAGAGGCGGAAGAGTGCAGAGCTAGCTCTAAGAAGTGGGCAATGATGTAAATCTCAAGAATAAAGAAGAGCTGCGAGGGGCTGGAGAGATGGCTCAGTGGTTAAGAGCACTGGTTGCTTTTCCAGAGGACCCGGGTTCAACTCCCAGTACCTACATGGCAGCTCACAACTGTCTGTAACTCCAGTTCCAGGGGATCCCACAACCTCACATCAATGCGCACAAAATGAAATTAAATGAAAAAAAAAAAAAAAAGGAGAGCCATGAAACCTGTGCTAAGCAGAATCCCCATGTGATTCAATAGTAAAAGCCTTTAGAAGTCTGATTTCCCACATGGCTAAGGGCACTTAGTAAAAGTAACTTTTACAAAGCACTGGCTTTGGGGTTTGCAGTGTCTGAATACCCCAGTGCAGATGGTCTCATTTAATCCTCAAGGAAGCTCCATTCTACACAAGAGGAAACTAAGGCACAGGGAACTCACACCACTTGTCTGGGGACCGAGTAAGAGATGGAGGCGAGATATGAATGAGGCGCCACTCTGGGAGGTTTCACTTTAATCTGCAAAATATTGGATACCTCACACCATAGACCGTGCAGCCAGTGGTCACTACCTGCTGTACAATATACTAACATCAAGGGATGATGAGGTAGACAGGTAAGACACAGGCCTACCTTTTGATAGGACAAAGCACAAACGAAGCCCAGAAAGAGTCTGAATTGCACCATTTGTTAATAGCGAAGACATTTCTATAAACACGTTATCTTTAGGCCAGTACATCTGTGAAGTGCTTCCACAAGCTACAACAGCACCGGCCTAACGCTATCAGGGTAGCATTCCCCAGCTGGCTCTGTGTGCTTATTTAAGTAATTGCCTGAACATAAATGAACAGGGGTATTAAAGTAAAGTTGGCACAAGGGACGGCATCCACACGGCACATGCTTTGTTCCAGGCCCTTCATTCTGTCAGTACTCTTGGAAAAAAAAAAAAAAAAAAAAAAGAGCAGCCGCTAAATAAATCATGGAAGTACGCGAAACTGCTTAAGGCCTTTTATAGTCTCCAAATGGTCATGCATCTTATATAAAGTTCATTTCCGACTTCCCCGTTTAAATGTTAGCAGCCTCAAAATAAGATCCAGGCTATTTACCTGTAAGAAGATACAATTGGAAAATAGGGCAGGAAGAGGAAAAACCAGGAGACTAGAGAGGAGACAGGATGACCAAGTGTGAGGGGGTCGCCCGAACTCAAACCAGTTCAATCAGCCACTTCAGTTTTGCCGATTTAACTTTACTCATTGGGGGCTGGGGGGAGACACACCCTACTGAAGGTATTTCCACAAATACAGAGAAGGGAACCGGTTTGTTATTTGAAGGCATGGGCTGTCCGTGTGATTCCTGGGTGTCCTCGGAGCGCTCGGTGACATGCACAATTAGGGCTGCATGACACCTGGCTCTCGCTCGAGTTCGGGTGCCGAGGACAAAAGGGCCGTCCCTCGGAGCGCGCGGGCGGCCGCTCCCGGGAGCGGGGCTGCGTCCCCCGGAATCCGGCTGCGTTCGCGGGAGCGGCGCTGCGTCCCTTGGAGCGGAGCTGCATTCCCCGGTGCTGGACTGCATCCGCGGAGCGACGCTGTGTCCCCGGGAACCCGGTTCCATCCCCGGAACCAGGCTGCAACCCGGAGAATAGGGCTGCATCCCCCCCCTCTAGTCAGACAGTGTCCCTGGGAACCGGGCTGCTTCCCTGGGGCTGGGTACTTCCCCAGAGCCGGGCTGCGTCCCCAGGAATCCGGCTGCATCCCGGGAGCCCGGTGCTTCCCCCGGACCGGGCTGCAGTCCCGGTGCCGGCCGCCGGCAGTGCAGGGTGCGGGTCGCGCACTCACCTTCCTCTTGGAACTCCAGCTTCTCCAGCATGCCGGTTTCCGCGGATCCCGGGGCCGCCGCCAGCGCCGCCTGAGGGGGAGGAGGAGGACACGGATC